TTGTTCACTTAGCACATTCAAAGCCATGTACATGTGTACATATCGTCGCTGGAACAATGAAATAGTGTAACATGAAAAGTATAGTTTTGAGAAAAACATATTGGAAGTTTTTATAAACGAATTCATCAACTTTAAACTTTAGTTGTGCGCTTCTTAATCAAAGTATTCACATTTTGAGTACACCACGCTTTTTATTGGTTCCTTAACTATTAATCCACAAAAAATATGTATCATATTAACTAAGAAATACCATTTGGGCCCATTTTTCTGAAAGCATCTGCTTATACACTATTTCTGTGTTCATATGGAAAAGTAGCTTATGTCGAAAGGCTGGCTTTAGTATAAATCGGCATTCGCAGCATACGATTGCGAATGACTCACTGGCGCTAAGCCGTTGAACAACTTTTGGCAAATAAACATGGAAGAAATAGTTCCGATACTAGCAAGTCAATATTCTTATTAAGTCTCATCAAAAAATTCCTTGCCGTTTAAAAAATAAAGGGATTGCCGCATTATACTAAAGCCAGCCTTTCGACATAAGCTACTTTTCCATACGAACACAGATTTTATCTTTGAAAATATTTATATGAAATCATTATACACTATTTTATTTGTATGGGATATCTACACCATTTTATTTCTGATTTTACACTGTCTTATCATTGTAATTTAAAGTGAAGGCAGGACAATAAAACAGCGTTAATGACCATAAGTATGTTATGGTCCAGGAATGAATAAAGAGAATATATGCACGCGGTTCGTATTGCTAATGATTTATTAGCTCTGATCCAGTACTCAGGTTTTTACACGAACTTGCAGGAAGTTACGGGAAAAATGATCCCGTACTCCGAGTTCCTCCAAAATCCTGTAAATGAGAGCGATATTTGGAGAGTTGTGTAGAGAATGAAGTTGCAAGATTTTACCCGAACTTTTTCTTCTGGTAAAATCATGAAAAGTGTCAAGTGATCACTGGTTGACGTTTTTACAGGAAAAATGCTTTTTTTGTTCCCATACTTTTTGTTGTT